TAGCAGGGTGAATAACGGTCTGGGAACTCTTCGACCAGGCTCTGTACTGTGTGAGAATAGTGTCGAGAACGAATGTACACATACGTGCGGAGAGCGGGACTGAACAGGCGATAATCGTCGACGGGTCGTCGACAAATCCTCGACTAATTCTGCTCATCAGTTGAGTAGAGTAGGTGAGATCTGAAGGAAGTGGCTTTAAAAATTGCTACTTAGAGAAGGAGACGGAGAAAAGAGAAAGAGAGGGAGGCGAGAAAAAAACCTAAGAGTTGATCTTGGATAAAACAACAGTGCACTAGGGGGAGCATTAACAGTGCAAAGCCAACGCTTCTGAAACCATATTTCAAGTTCAAAGCATGCCAAGTGACCTTCTTGTACAAGCAAATAGTTCTCACATACCAAAGCTTCTTTCCCCTGCTGAAAATTTTTATTATTTGTGCCTAAAATTCGCTGTCGCCCCCTCCCCACCCAGGAACACCAGTAAAATCGTATATTCAAGCTATCAGAAGGGCCCAAAAGCTTTGAATGTGTGCCTCTGTGACCGATGTCTTTGTTAGACGTGGCTAGATCACCATAACACTTCAGTTTCGGCAACAATGATATCATTTGTACCCCTAACAGCGACGATTAGTGATATTGTTGGCAACTCGTGATAAACTGATTGTATGGAGATCACTTCGTTGTCTATCAACGTGCTAATTCGATCGAGGTGGCTAACGGCTAGCACAGCGCGCTTGGGGGCGGCTACCGTACCTTGTTCGCGCTACCAGTTCACTGCTAATCGTTATTGAGACCGGTTCCGCGTCTCTACTATATAAGGGCGGTGGTGTTCGAGTAGATCAGATACAGCAATGTCCGACGAAAAGACAAAGTTGGCTGAGGCCGAGGGTCTCAAACGCCTTGCCTTCTTCGGCATTGCCATCTCCACTGTCGCCACTTTAACCGCTATTGTGGCCGTGCCTATGCTGTACAACTACATGCAGCACGTCCAGTCCTCTCTTCAAAACGAGGTACTGCCTTTTCTCTGCCTCATTCATGTTTTATTTCCTGTTGAAATCAGTTTTTCTTCCGCATTACATTTCGTAACTTAGGTTGAATTCTGCCGTCATCGTACTGATGGACTTTGGGACGAATTCCGTCGGGTAATTCACTTTATATTTGTTCTTTTTCTGCCATCACTTTTCTTTGTTTGATGCCGAATTATCCTGTGGAACATTGCTATTCTGGTTCAGTTCGAGTCAACAAAGGGAGTTGAGAGCCGTATCAAGAGGCACACCTGGCAGCAGCACTTCCGTGTACCCGCTAGAGCCCGTGGTGCCGGCACGTACTCTGAAGGCCCATCAGTCGGAGGTGGTACGTATTAGTCACGCTAACCAAGGAGTAAATACAAATAATCACGAATCTATACCTTTCCAGGTGGCGGAAGCGGTGGCGGATGCTGCTCTTGCGGAATTGGAGCTGCTGGTCCTCCTGGACCACCTGGAGCCGACGGTCATCCAGGAAGAGACGGAGCACCTGGAAACCCAGGTTCTGCCGGAGCTGATGCTAGCGCAAGCGCCGCACCCACAGCCGCCGATTTCTGCTTTGACTGCCCACCTGGACCAGCTGGACCTGCTGGAAACCCTGGACCTCCCGGACCTTCTGGTGCACCAGGAGCTCCTGGACACAGCCCTCAATCTGGAGGATCTGGCCCACCTGGACCACCTGGACCAGCTGGAGCGCCTGGAAACGACGGAGCTCCTGGAGCCCCTGGAAACCCTGGAAGACCTGGACAAACCATCGAGGTTCCCGGCTCACCCGGACCAGCTGGTAAGTTGTTGTGCGATACCATTCGGTGTGAACATCAGAGCGTGCTTTAATAATCTTGTTTTTAAGGACCTCCTGGACCTCAAGGACCACCTGGACCAGCAGGAAATCCTGGAGCACCTGGAAGCTCGCAACCCGGCCCTCCTGGACCAGCAGGAGATCCTGGACCAGATGGAGCCCCCGGAAACCCCGGAGCACCTGGAGCTCCTGGAGACGCTGGCGCCGCCGGCAGCGGTGGTGGTTGCGACCACTGCCCACCTCCACGAACGGCACCAGGTTATTAAACTGGCGCCAATGGTCTACACGCTATTCGAGGCAGCGGTTGCATCAATCGTTCGAGTTTCCGTGCCAACTAGTAGAAAATCTTCGTTCTGAGTACGAGTCATCCCAGAATAATAAAATGTTCACCAATCGCTTTTGTTCGGTGTATTTTGATGTGCCAAAATTGTTTTCAAAGCGATTGCGGCCATACAGACAAAGCACTTCCTGAAAAGGAATGACTCACATACGGTCGTGGCTTGAGGCCTCATTCCATTCATGCATTTTCCTCTGATCGTGCACCTCCTTATATTTCACTTTTCGTCGCCTTCATACGCACCGCTGCGTTTCTCAGTCATTCGATCAAAGGAATTGGGAAGCTTCAGCGATAAGATCGAGGTGGGCAAGACTCGATTCGGTCGACCGTTATGCAAATATCCGCTATTTCTGACGCAAACCAGTTGTTGCGCTTACAAGTCACACAGAACAAGAAACTGCCAGTTAGGAGAAATTTCCTTTGTAGACACGGGACACATGGTTAGGAACGAGGGGCAAGTGGTGGTGCCTATCAAGAACACACCTTGATCCCTCGTTTCTTAGGGTCACATTAATTCGCTCACAAACGGAATTAATTAGACTGTCATTGCTCAGTTCTAAATGCTGTTGGTGTTGTAAAAGTTTCGTTGAAGGCTTTTTGAATTTCTTACATAGTTTGATTCGTGGTCAGAGTTCGCAAGAGTGTCAGTGTCATGCTTTTTGTCCTTAGCAAACCGCATAAAAATCGCATTTTAGTGATGACTACGCTGCGGAATGAACTGCAATTGGGAAGGAAAGGGAGGACTCATGGGAAACAGAATTTTTAGGGCCTTAAAATTCAGTAAAGTCGGCTCGATATGGCGAGACAGGGCGATCAAAGAAGACAAAACACGCGAGAGAGCACGCCGTTCGAGAGAGCACGCTGATCTCTACATCAATCGCGGTGGGTGGGAAGCGTTGCAACGGGGGTCGATGGTTGCAGGCCCGTAAGGATTAGCGCCCTAACCGCGCAATTTTTGCGACGAAGCTGGAGTGATCTAGGTAGGTACGGACCTTACAATTTCCCTCATCCTTCCTACTAGTCGGGCTAATTGATAATGGATTGGCTTATGGCAACAGATAATGGTTGACAAGTGGCAGTTAAAAATAATGATAATTAATAAGTATAATAGAATACAACTGCAATAGGCTATTCATTTCGTTGGGAGAAAAATATCACTTTTCTAAGGCATTCGCCATTTTTGGTTATTTGGTCTGCATTGTTGACCCGCCTTGCTGTCGGATGCAGAGGTTAATTGCCTCATTTAACTGGATAGGTTCGTTCAATTTTTAGTGAAGGACCACCACGGCTCTATAATTTTGCATCCGCAAAACACGGATTCCATCTTGTCCACAACTATCAATCTCTAATTAAGGCCGATGTCAGACTTTGCGAGTCAAGGGACTCGCAAGCGTCCGCGGTCGCGTACAATCGCGTACGTACATCGCACGATTTGCAAGGTCTGACAGCCTAGGAGAGTCAGGAAAAGAAGCTGTGATAAGTTGTGGATTGGTTCTGCTTCCAGTTACAACAATGATCAGATGCAATCAGATGATGCATTTTCGAAAAGATGGGGTCTTCAAACCAAACGGATTCCTCAGTTCTAGAGTGACGAAGTGGACGTAAAACGAATACATTTATGATGTGGTCAGTTATGGCCGAACCCAGCAGTTTCCACTTGAAAAATATCAGAAAAACATTGGGTGTTGAATGAATGTTGAAGTACGAGACTGCGGAAGACCCAACCAAAAAACAGCCCAAAATTTGGGACAGGGCACCTATTCTGCCCGTTCGTTCTATGGAACGAGTTTCCACCATGGTTCGTTCACGTGAAATTGAGGCTTCATCTTTCCGCTGTCAGGGTTACGGTTTGATAAAGGACAGCGGCTGATTCACCGATTTGTAGATAGGATGAAAGTTCACAGAGCTGGGCTATGTCGAGTCTTGTTAACACATTGACGACAACGCGGGGGATATATATCCCGCGCATTGCAGGCCATGTCGGACCGTGCGGGATATATATCCCCCGCACCCATTACACTCATTTTTTTCGCGCACGCCTGATTCTTTTAGAAGTTTCTTGTATTATTCCATGGAAGAGACCTTGACGTAGCTACAAACATAGTGGCCCTTAGAATGGTCACGTATAAATTTTCGTTTACTTTTCTTTTTATAATGTGAAGATTTAAATAGTAGTAGAAGTAGATACGGAACCTTAGGGATGACAATATGTGTGTTTTGATTGAAATAATCAACGTAAAATTGCTTTTGAGGTCCATTGCAGCTAGTTCTGAAAAATTTCGCTTTTTCATTGTTATTCCATGTCTTTCGATCGAAATTCCACTACTGTACCCCTGGGTAGGTTGCGCTCATTACAATTTACTGATTTGGTTTTGAATTGATCATTAGTTGTGTATTTATCACTCAAAATCTGCTTGAACGACCTGAGGCGAGCGCGCCCGCAAAATCGCCGCGGTCCCACGTGGCCAAAAAAGCCAAAACTCGTTGTCGTCAATGTGTTAAATCGTTTACTCACTTTCCACGCGGAAAGCCGCAGCATCGTCTACCCCATGACCGGGGTCAACCGCAGGGTCAACCCTGCGTTGCGCAAATTCCCAAATTTTTACGACCCCCTTCCTTTTCGGGGGTATCGGTACGACCCCCCCATATTAACT